CTAGTTAGAAATAATGGATGATCCAAGTTTAGCTTGCAGACAATTAATGATGATGAAGCCAATGAACCACAACAAAATGAGGATTTCATCCCAGTTTTTTCATTAAATCAAATAATAATACAACTTAGAACAGCAGTCAAAAGGGTGGAAATAAGCATTTCTATTTAGATTTATGGAAAAATCAAAGAATTGTGTGCAATACATTATTTCTTGAACTTCAGATTATTTAAAGAAGGGGGAGCACCTGCATAGTAAAATTTGTCTACTTACTTTTCTGCTGTAGCGATTCTGTTATGTTGACCTTTTAGGTCACCTGAGCTTAAAGCTCATGAGATCACCTGTTGTCTGACATCAATACGTCTGTCTGTAAACTTTTCATAATTTGGACTCTTCTACTGGGCAAATTGTAACCAAAGTTTGCACAAAGCATCCTTTGTTAAAGGGGATTCTAAATAAACTTCATTCCAAGGGGAGATAATCAAGAAAAAGCAAAAAAAAAAAAAAAATGTGGGGTCATTCAAAAATCTTCCCAAGTAGCACTGGGTCAGAAAAGGTGAAACTTATGTGGAAGTGTTCAAATCATGCACCCTGTGGATAAGATGGGACCACAATAGGGGATGAATTTTTTACATTGAAATGTAGAAGCAAAATGTTCTTTTCAAGAGCCATTGTACCAAAAAAGATGAAACATATGTGAAACCTTCCTGATATAGTGTAAATTCTAAATTGTTCAAATCATGAACCCCAGGGGATGGGGCCACAATAGGGTATCAAAGTTTTACATTAAAATAAGTAGGAAAAATCTTTAAAAATCTTCTCAAAAACCAATGGACAAGAAGAGATGAAACGTGTATGATAGTTTCCTGAGGCAGTGTAGATTTTTAACTGTTCAATTCATTGCCCGAGGGGTAGGATGGGGCCACTGTAGGGAATCAAAGTTTTGCATGGAATCATATAAGAAATTTTTTTTTTAAGATCTTATAAAAGAACACAATAGAACCATTAATTTGCAAATATTCACAAGCTGTGTGAATTCATTATTTTTTTCTTGAATTATGGACCCCCGGTTAAGAGTTGGCTACATTAGGATCAAATTTTATGTAATGCATGTATGCAGGGTAGAGTTTTATTCTCCATGACTGCAAAGCCATGTTAGTCATACATGTACATGTATTAATATTGAAGCATCCCCAAGGTGTGCGGATTCAGAGACCCTTTAGAATTAGGTGGGGCCAAAAATATGGGGGCATGCACATTTTTTCATGGGAATTTAAAAAATCTTCTGAAGAAAGCAGAACTAAAGTAAATTGAGTGAGCATATTTTTTGTGGACCATGGGGCACATTTTTAAGAGGTTTTTGATTGAATCAGAGAAGTAAATTTCAAGATTCAATTGAAAAATATTGTTTTATTAATTGGACAGTTTTCTTACATACTTTTTTGTTGTTGTTTTTGAAAATAATTTTTATTTTATATATTTATATTTTATTTTCCCAACCATATTCCATAATAAAATAATCACCATTATTTTAGAGTTGATATTCCAAGGTGCCTGTTTCCAAATAGTAGTTTGTGTCATTGTATGAAATATGTTTGTCTGATTGCTGAAAATGGAACAAGATGAAAATAATTTGGATAAAAATGACTTCCTTATCCACCAAAAAACACCAGCTTATCAAATGTTAATAACCAAATTAACAGTTAAATCAAGGTGCTTTTAATGGCTCAACTGGGTCGGCTCTTTTTACACAACAAGATAACGACATTAGCATCACGAAACATTCACAGATATACTGATCCGTATAGATTTTCAACTGTTTTCGTTGTGTATTTATTATTCTCCGTACAGTTCATCAATAGTTAATGAATAGGTTCTTTAGTTTTGTTCCCAGAAAATTGATTGGCATATTTATATAGGCATGTATCATGAAAAATAGAGAGAGGAAAAAAAAGGGAGCTTCATTTTTGATGAAGTAAAACAAAGAGATGGGCAAAGTGCAGCAATGAGTCCCTCTGAAGTATTGCCTGCCTTTGTTTCATGTTTGTTCAGCCTTTGTCAGGAATTTCCTGTATCATCAACACTTCCAGATTCACACTCAGATTCAATGTTTCACACATGTTGACACTTCGGTCCAACTTTGTATATTATAGTACAGGCAACTTAAAGTACCCCTAAGCTTTGACAGCAGAAAATGTCAGAGGCAGTTTTTGAATTGTTTTCCATTTTTTTCCTCTGTTGACATAATTCGAGCAATTATTCATGTCATTTAGAGACAAGACCAGAAAAAAAATCCCATATAGCCAATAGTGTTTGACGAGATGAGATAGAGAGGGTATGGAGAGCTAATAATGCTGAATCAGGTTATAGCAGTCCTAGGAACTGTGCAGGGACATGTTCCACGGTTTATATATATGGATTATTGCGGTACATATGGCACCTCTCTTTGACAGAAGTGGGGAGACAGTGTGGATCTATTATATAATAGACTCTCATATTGTGAGGAACGGACACCAGATTCCTCGGATTGAAGTGATAAAAAGCATAAAGGATACAATTGCTAGTTTATAAAAATCTATCCATATTGATGTTTTCATCAAATGCACAATATGTCAAATGGATATAATTATCCATCAATAATGCAGTGTTTAGATAGCACTGGTCACGTCACCCTCTTTTATTTATTGACAGTTTATGATGAATTGATCTTTTGAGTGCTGACATTTTATGTGGACATTTTTCTCAAACTTGAAAAAATATCATTGGAGAAATATTACCTGGTAAATAAATCTGCAATCATGAAAACTTTTTTTCAAAAAATTCGAAGGAGCAAATCTCAACAAAGTGTGAAACGGAATCGAAATCCTGTTCTTGTGGTAAGTTTTTACTAGGATTATTAAACACTGTTCTTGTGGTAAGTTTTTACTGGGATTATTAAACACTATACTTGTGGTAAGTTTTTACTAGGTTTATTAAACACTGTTCTTGTGGTAAGTTTTTACTGGGATTATTAAACACTGTTCTTGTGGTAAGTTTTTACTAGGATTATTAAACACTGTTCTTGTGGTAAGTTTTTACTGGGATTATTAAACACTGTTCTTGTGGTAAGTTTTTACTGGGATTATTAAACACTATACTTGTGGTAAGTTTTTACTAGGATTATTAAACACTGTTCTTGTGGTAAGTTTTTACTGGGATTATTAAACACTATATATACTTGTGGTAAGTTTTTACTAGGTTTATTAAACACTGTTCTTGTGGTAAGTTTTTACTGGGATTATTAAACACTGTTCTTGTGGTAAGTTTTTACTAGGATTATTAAACACTGTTCTTGTGGTAAGTTTTTACTAGGATTATTAAACACTGTTCTTGTGGTAAGTTTTTACTGGGATTATTAAACACTGTTCTTGTGGTAAGTTTTTACTGGGATTATTAAACACTGTTCTTGTGGTAAGTTTTTACTAGGATTATTAAACACTGTTCTTGTGGTAAGTTTTTACTGGGATTATTAAACACTATACTTGTGGTAAGTTTTTACTAGGATTATTAAACACTATACTTGTGGTAAGTTTTTACTGGGATTATTAAACACTATATATACTTGTGGTAAGTTTTTACTGGGTTTATTAAACACTATATATACTTGTGGTAAGTTTTTACTGGGTTTATTAAACACTATACTTGTGGTAAGTTTTTACTAGGATTATTTAACACGTTTCTTTTGGTAAGTTTTTACTAGGATTATTATAAACTTTTCCTGGGGTTTTTGGATTATGTTACACCAGTGGTATATTTTTTTTGGTCACATTTTTGTATACTGCATTTGAAATGTGTCCTTTCCTGGATTGAATTACAGTCAAACCTTGTTATCTCAAACTCAAAGGGACCAAGAAAATACTTCGAGATAACTGAGGATTTGAGATATCCAGGGTAAAATACTTAAGGAATAAGCAGATGGGACTTCAAAATGACTTCGACATATCCATGGTATTTGAGATATCCGTGTTCGAGATATCGAAGTTCAACTGTATTTTATATGCAATGCACTTGTGGTCAGTTTTTTTTACACTGAACTCCTTTTTAATTTTTTTTTTTTTTACACTTGATTATATTGTACATGTGCAGTGCACTGTGGTACAAAATTTTCCTTGTATTATTTTACATGCGGTAAGTTTTTCGCTTGATTGCAGTACATGTGCTAATCTTTTCTTTGGACTGTTGAACACTTATGGTAAATTTTTCCTTGGACTATTGTTCACAGTGCATTTGTACTAAGTTCTTTGGATTATGATATTTGTGGTAATCTGTTCGTTGGATTGTGGTAAGTATTCATTGAATTACACGTTTCTTGCAAGCTTGTGGGATATTTTGCCAAGGTTTGTTACAAACTACACTTGGGTAGGTTTTGTCAAGAATTTTATATTCCTCTTATGGTAAATTTTGCTAGGGTAATTTAAGCCTCAACTAGTTCAGATGTGGAAAACTTAGATGAGTTCTCTCAATACTGAACTGAATCATAATGCAGGTTATGTAATTAATATTAAAATAATTCCAAATATATAATCAATACATCATTATTTTAGTTCTGTAAAATGATCATATTTAATCAATATATATTAGTAAAACCTCTTTAATAATTCAGATTGTTTTTGACATGATTGCATGTATTACAGAATAATTTGTTTGAGTTACCTAAATAATAAAATGATAATTGATGCCTTTACTTTTCATACATATATTGGACAAAGATTTAAAATATAATATTCATGAAAAATCCTTAAATTAAGATTATAAATCCGGTCATTGTTTCTCTGGTAAATGTCAAACTATCAAACAGAAAAATGAAAATGAGATTAATTAAAAGTGAAAACTTGCTTCTTTGTTAAACTAGTAATGAGTTCTTTTAATATGTAAGTATGTTTTTTTTTTTTTTTTTTTTTCTTTTTTGTTTTTTTTTTTTGTATATTTGACAATCACTGCAAAGACATTTTTATCTCTTATAGGCAAGAAGTCCAACCGAGTTGAACTTCAGTTTAGACTCCAACAAAGCACAGAGGGAGCTAATATCCCAACTGGAGGCCAAAAACAGGTATTTCTGTTTGCTGATTTAGAAGAATCAGTAGGGAGATCTTGAGAATTATGGCTATTGTTGATCAAATGTCATGTAGAAACACCAACTACATGATATTGTATGTGAACTGTTGACCAGATCAAACAAGCAGATACTTCTGCAGTCACATTAGACCTTTGTGTAAACCCAACTGATTGGTAATGAAGATAGCCCATTCCCAAAGAGCACAGAATGATTATATAAAATGTACTTATTTCCATTATAGGACATTGGTCACATATTTAATATTATTTAATGCTATAGGATTACAACTGATATTTTTTGAAAAATTATATTAATTTTCTAGCATGTTTATATTTAAAAACATAAAGATCATTAATGATAATGAAAAAGTGTGTATAGCTATAATAAGTAAAACTGACCCCTTGTGTTTATCAAAATTTAAAGAAATATTATATGATCATAGTTGATGCAATGAAATCAAAGTAGCAGTAAATAATATAAAAAAAAAATACATGTCAGATAAGATTTATGAGAATGAGCTCAATACTCAAATGCTACGCCTGAAATTATTTTAGTATAATACTGTTTCTCTCTGTCTGCTTTAAGTAAAGAAAAAGTTGTCACATGAAGAGGGGCACTTGATGAGTATTTTCACATTCTTTCTTCAGACCACTTTAAATCTAAACCAGTAGGGCTACAATCTTGTCAGAGATCTTTAGTTTTAACCACTACCAGTAAGGCTATAATTTTGTCAGAGACCTTATGTTATAACCCCTACCAGTAGGACTACAATCTTGTCAGAGACTTATAACTGCTTCCAGTAGGGCTACAGTCTTGTCAGAGATCTTTAGTCATAACCACTACCAGTAAGGCTACAATCTTGACGGAGACCTTTAGTTATAACCGCTACCAGTAGGGTACAATCTTGTCAGAGACCTTTAATTATAACCGCTATTGGTAGGGCTACAATCTTGTCAAAGACCTTTAGTTTTAACCACTACCAGTAGGGCTACAGTCTTGTCAGAGACCTTTAGTTATAACCACTACAGTAGGGCTACAGTCTTGTCAGAGATCTTTAGATATAATCACTGGTTGGATGACTGCTTTGTAGCAGATTTTGAACTACTCTGTTGCAGATTCTGATATGAATTTAAACAGCAATTATTGTCATAAAACATCTGATTTTATTTGACAAGCTATCTGTAACTGTCACAAACCAGGAGATTATTGACAGAGGGGGATACCCTCCCCAGAGATTTCCCAGTCACAGGACACCTTACCGGAAACTAACAACATCAGCAGAAGTTTGACCGCTATCAATTACATTAACAGCCCACTAATAAGTCAATTTGTCATCGGGTTTATACCCCAAAGGATTCTGTAAATATAAACTACTGTTAAGCCAGGAGAACAAATTCTAGCATTCTCAGTTGTTTTCGCTGTCAACTTAAATCAAGAGCAAGAATATTCCTGTATGTGAGGCCTGTGAAACATAGCAGACAAATACAGATCGCATTGTCCATTGTCTGTCTGTCTGGGAGAAATCTCCCACAAAACAAGGCAGACAAATAGAGATCACATTGTCCATTGTCTGTCTGTCTGGGAGAAATCTCCCACAAAACAAGGCAGACAAATGGAGATCACATTGTCCATTGTCTGTCTGTCTGGGAGAAATCTCCCTCAAAACAAAGCAGACAAATAGAGATCACATTGTCTGTCTGTTAATCTGTTTGTGAGAAGTCTTCCACATACTTTCAAATTTCATGTGAAGAATGGATTCTCATTTAAGAAATAAAATTTTGCAGAATCAAACTTTAATAATTATCAGTTTAATTTCAGAATTTTCTGAAAACCAAATGAATATATAATTATGTATGTGATGATGAAATACAGTAAAATTATCAATTTAAACTATTTTTAAAAAACTATATATTTGATAAATTGAAAGTATAAAGCAAAATTATAGTGATATCTTTCAATTATTTCAAACTGATCACTACTAGTTCTGGCAGAATTAACGTAAAAGAAATTAGAATTGTTACTGAGTGTTTATTAGGGAGAGAAATGGACAGTCATGAAGCAAATAAAGGCAGGCAGAATAAAGATGAGTAGAGATGTGCTTTATTGCAGACTAGCGACAATTTATGATTGGCTTAGACAAAAGGCGATGGCACTTACTACCTTCTGAACTTGTATTTTTATTTGGAGAATGTCAAATAAATCTTTGGTCTTGAACCGATTTTTCATTTCAGAAAAAAATTAATGTTCATGATGAATTCTAGACAGTCCAAATTACATGGCATACAAATGAGAAAGGGAGATCACTGACTCTCATTATCTCCCCTACACATTCCTCTTTAAAACTCCAAAACAATTGTGAAAATATCTACAAGATCCTTTTGTGAAAAAAAAAAATGAGTTATTTACATGTTTTTCATACATGCCTTACTTCTTTTTACACTGCAGAATTACAAATTACAGAATTATGACATCATTTTAGGAGTCATTATGTAACAGAAGTACACTATGTACTATTGTGAAGTCAAAGTAAATGTATATTTTCCTGATGTTTTAAATGATATCATAAATGTTGATTTCCGTTAAACACTTTAATCAAACAGTATTTAGAACTTTTCAGATGCCCCTGGTATGTCTGTCTGACATCTGTCTGGTAATTTCCACATTTTGGACTTCTCAAGAACTGTCTGCACTTTGCCATCTTCAATAAAACTTGACATGGCATGTCATTTTATGATGATGGTTACAAGTTTGTTCAATTTAAAGGCGATGCTTTCTTCTGGAAGACATAAGACAAAGTCATAGGCTCATTAGAGATGGTTCTTTTAACATTTGAGTATAAATATATGTCTGCTTTATTAGCCACCGTGTAAGTATGTTTTTTTTTTTTTTTAGGAAAATAAAATTTTAATGTATAAACAGACATAAGATTCCACACTCAAATTAAACTTTATTGTATTTTTTATTTTGATCAGGGAGATTATGAGAGAAATCCACAGGCTTCGATCAGAGCAAGAGGCTCATGCACGGAGTACAGAAAGTGCCCAATATAACCCGACATTGCTGGCAGAATTACGACAGCTCAGGCAGCGAAAAGATGAGCTTGAGTCAAGAATGTCCGCCTTACAGGACAGCCGGAAAGAGCTCATGGTACAGCTGGAGGGACTGATGAAACTGCTGAAGGTATGAGTATGGAACATTAGTTAGAAAAAGCTAACTGCATCTTGGGACAAACCCTCACCACAGTTAGAATACATCCCATGTACTGCGATGTAGCAAAACAGCAGATCCGCTCCAACTCAATTTTGGAGAAGACAAATAGGAGTTGCACTGAAAATAAACATGTAAATCATTAAAACAAACCTTTTACTCTAAAATATAATCCACATAAAGATTTCTTAATGTTTTTCCTGGCTTCAAATTGACATGTCATTGACATGTTGACATTCAGAACTCTCTGGATTTTTCTGAGTGTAAACTTATAATAGAATTATCTGTCTCTGTTTATTTTGCTACATTGCCAAAACATGGAAATAATTCTATGTTTAAACGGGTCTATAGGACAATATCATTTTAACAATATAACGTTGTATCTTATTGCATGAACATATTATGGAAAGGGGGGATAAAAATGCAGTTAGGAGAAGATAACTCTGTAAAAGAGGAGCTAATAGAACTGTTATGTGAACAGTCAACAGATCAAACATTGGATTACTGTACACTGACTTAGTTTCATTATAAAATTCCTTTGCGTCTTTGTTTTTCTCTCTCTCTTTGGTTATGTTTGTTTGCTGTAAAAATATATGAAATATATACAAATTCTCGGCAATAAAAAATATAGCTATTTCCTAGTCGTACAAAGCCCCAGAGGATTAGTCACACACAAAGGAAAGTTGATTTATAGAATTAAAGCAGAATGAATTCTTGTTAGAGGGGAAGGAGAATGATGCTGAACATTAATCAGAGGGCAGGCTCAGTATAGGCAGGTTGTTAGCAGCCAGATATAAGGTGTTACATTAGATATATTTCAGCAGCAACTTTAATAGATGATAGTGTTAGGATATTCTGAGTGATGATATGCCTTTAGGTTTGGCAGTGTAACTGGTGTTCACAGGGACAAATGTTAAGATTCTTGATAAAATCCATCTATACTGACAATCCTTGAATTCGAAAATCAGAGAACAAATATTCTACTATTACGTGTATACATGTCAAAGCATATATATGCCATGAATGCAATGTAATACTTTTTTTAAGAAATAAAGTTTTTCTGCATATGCCATATGCCTGACATCACAAAAGATGTATCAGTTTTTCCTGCAGGGCTAATATGGATCTGCAGGGCTGATGCAGATTTTTATCATATATTTAGTAGTAAATACACTGATTCTGCACTGTGCGGCACAATACCCCATATAAGGACCGGTCCAAAAATCCATATCACATATTGGACCGGCATGCAAAAATCCATATCAAACTGGAAGTAACGTTTGTATAAAGTTTGAAAGTTAATTAACTTGATTTTATTTAAATGTACAAGTAAAATAATTCTTTACTAACATTTGTGGACTTTAATTTGTTTTCAAAGACTTAAAATTGGCTCTACTAAATTTTAAAGATTAAACATGCACAAAACATTCTTCAATTACTTTATGTGAACTCACACATGAAGTATTTTAAAATATTTTTTTTATTACATTCTCTTGATTTTAAATTATTGTTCTTTGATATAATAAGCTGGTTAATTATTATTTATTTGTTTTTGCTCAAGTAGATGTTTGCTGTACCGGTATTTATTATTAATTTGTAATAAACAGAATAATACATACCCTTTTCCATATCACACTATGTATCAGCCCTCGACCAATATCAGCCCTCAGGCCTTTGGCAATCTGGCTGATATTAGTGTCTCGGGCTGATAGAGGATGTGATATGGAAAAGGGTATGTATTTTCTCTATAAATCTTTAGGATGTAAGCAATAAAATTCTTACATGGTATCTTGGTAAGGGAGTGTATTTATTAAATGCAGATTGATTGAAAATTTTAAAAATTGTTATTATACTTACATGTATATCTGGAAGATTTGTGACTATTTCATAACTCTGATGTGATGAATTTTTTTTTTTTTTTTTTTGTAAAGCATTTTCCAAACAAGTACATAGATTTATCTATAAAAGGATAATATTTTAAATATTGCATGTAGTTGAGTAACATTGAAAGTTTTCACCCCAAGAAAACCATATTCAACCGACAATGGTTTTCGAGGGGTGAAAATTTTCAATGTTACACTCAACTACATGCAATATTTATTATATTATACTGAATGTTTTATAAAAATACATATAACAGTGAACCTTGTGCGCATAAATTCTGCGCAGTCACTATTTTTTTTAATATCACCCGTCGTTAAGCAGTGTTGACTGTTGCTACGCTGGAGGGCGTGGCTTCATCATTCAGTGGGTAATAGTAATTTTTAACAAATGTTTCTCAACGAATCAGATTGAACTAATTTACATGAAAGTATAATATAAAAAGTTAACAATTTTTCATGCTGTACATTTTTCAAATATTGTAAACATATTACATTTCGCCATGTATTCTTTTTAGCGCATTTGGTGGAGAGCAGCGACAGCTAAATCAGTACATAGCTAAATGTCTTTATATATAAACATTTATATCTAGCACATTTAAATCAAATCTAAGCTAACATAGAATCAATCAATTTCCGCCAAATATCGTACACGTTAAATATACATGTATTTACATTATATTGTACATTGATATGTAATATGTAATGTGAATAATAATTGTTTATAAGGAGTAATTTGTTTCTTTGCCAAATTTTACGAAATCTATCTGTTTTCATAGTGATTTGAAAGGAAATTTTCCTCACTCACGATCAGAACTATGGTTAATTATGGATGAGCAGGCCTTATTTTATGCTATAAGATGAAGTCATATTTAGAAATTTTTAAAAAATTATTGATTTCAGATATAAAGTGTATTTTTGATGTCCTTCTTATGAAGTTAACAGTTTTTTTGCTGATATAAAATATAGATGAGTAAATCCTGCCATTTAATTTAAAGGCAAATTTTCAAAGCAGATTTAAACCAAAAAATTTATTACTTCATTCAGGTGAATCCCTATCTGTCAGTCAAATTTGCCATTAATTGTAATTGAATTGTTTCACCTGAATAAAAGCTAAACTGGAATTTTTGATGACGTGATGTTGTATTTGAATCAAAGGTCTTCATACATCTTTGTCAACAGCAACAACAAACTAAAATTTGAATTCATATCAGTCAAGGACTCAAGTTCCCAGACACAGTTTCATTACTGTAAAAGTGGTTATTTACGCGTGGGGGAAATTTACACTACTTACGCGGTAAGCTAAGAACCGCGTAAATTACCCCCTGCGCGTATGGTCACAAAATTTCAAACTTCTGGAATAATTATAGATTATTACTTAAACTGTTAGACCAGTTGAACCAGTCGTATATTAATCGTGGTATTGAACGCACGTGAGTAGATAAATACATCACAAACAGCGATGAAAACATAACTGTTCATTTTTTTAATTGTGCGATGAAAAATGCATCTTCATGTTAGATATTTAAGAGCAACGTCACGCAATTAAAGCTTCAAAACTTCGATACTCATTTTCATTTCCTTTATATATTCGTGTATGTCTCTCTTAATTTCAAATAATTAGTCCAAAATGTTACATAAACTCAAAGTCACTACAAACATACCAATTAAATTAATTGTCAACACTGGACACGCAGATACAGGTAAGTATATCCCACTTTGAAGTTTGAACTTGCGTAAATAATTGCAATAAAGCGTACACAAGTTGTTCACACTTCAGCGCATTTGATTGTGCACATCGACGTTATATTTACTAATCCAACAGTATAATTTTTTATTGATTTGTTTAGTTTGTAATCATTTTTAATCTTTTTTCTTATCATTTTCAAAGGGGAACAACTCGATGTTAATAACGATGGCCGCGTAAATTTTTCTCGGTAACTTGTGCGACCGCGTATATTACAACCACGCGTAATGTTTGATGGTCATAAACGCGTACTTAACAACCAGTGTAAATAACCACTTTTACAGTATGTAGCCCAGTGACCACGACCATGACCTGTACAAGGCATCTTATTAGCTTGAGCTAGTGGATTAACCCTTTAGCTTGATCGGTAGGGCACTGGACTGGCATGATAGAAGTCCCAGGTTCAAATCCATTTGGAGGCACAAATCTGTCTCTGTTATAATAGTAACATACTAAAATTGGAATACATATCCAATCAAGGGTTCCCAAAAATCATTTCACTTTCTTATTGCCCATGGACCTTGACCTTTGATATATGACCGAGTCAAAATCAACCTCAAGTCATGAGCAATATTATACTAATGTTGGAACCAGTCCAATCTTAGATTCAAGATTTTTGGTCTGAACATGATATTGTTATAAGTGGACATAACTTTTGCTCTGTACTCATAACTGAAAAAGAGTAAAATCATCTAAACTTAATTCAAAAGTTACTCTGACTGGTCAAGCTTTATTTTTGGGGGACCAGTGAATTAATGTATAATACAGTATGATTGTATTTTCAGACACACCCCACCTCCCCTCGAGCTGTACCCACAGACAGCACTCCCCACCATCAGAACCTTTCTCAGTCCCTCCCTGACAGGTATGCTGCCCCTAATATCCCCACAACACCAGCCATGGAGTCTTCCATGCTAGCAGGAGTAGGGGGTGAAGTGAGACAGGCATTTTATAACCCTGGGCCAGTGGAGAATGTTCGGTTGATCCGGAATGACCTTATGTGTGCTGCTGATTCTGTCACCAGTGCCATGTCTTCGCTAGTCAAAGAACTCAACTCAGGTAAACTCAGAGAGAACTTAATGAGATAAAGTGATAGAAAACTCAACTCAGGTAAACTCAAAGAGAACTTAATGACATGTGATAGAAAACACAGATCGGGTAAACTCAAAGAGAACTTAAATCAGATAAACCAATAAAGAACTCAACTATGCAACTCAATTCAGGTAAAGTCAAAGAGAATTCTATAAATTGGGATAAAATGACAAAGACTCAACTCAGGTTAATTCAGAGAGGACCATAATCAGGTAAAAGGAAAGAGGACTTAACACCTATAAACTCAGAGAGAACTCGATAAAATGATGGAAAACTTTGGTAAATTGTAGACATACTACAGGTCATCTGATGGAGAGGACAAACCTGATTAAATGTTAGAATTCAACTTAAGTAAAAGGTCATCTGATGGAGAGGACAAACCTGATTAAATGTTAGAATTCAACTTAAGTCAACTTTGTCAATTTCAACAGAATTGGCACAAGGGATTCTGTGAGGCAAAGGATCAGTCTGATGGGGAAAAAGGGGGAGGGAGAATAACTGCTCTGGGTGCCTAACAAAGGAAAAAAATAGGGTTCAAATTTTGCATAATGAATGGTAAAGGGGGAGGGGGTTAATTGCCATTTTGCAGTGAGGATAGAAAAGTAAATCCCAATACAATGTAGATGACCAAAATTGCTTCCATATGTCCATAGTTTGCCATATACAGATAAAATTTTGTTACATTTTACTATTTTCTGACAAAAAATGACTGCCCTATATCATTTTCAAAGATATTTCCATTTTTTTCTCTAACATTTTATTCTGTTTTACTTTCAGAGGCCAGTAGCAGTGATGAAGATGAAGACAACATTATAAAACAAGAAGGTAAAACTGAATTCTCTCAAGGTCATTGATGATGTAATCCTGGCCTATAACAGTCTCTAAAGGGATTGGGCACAGGTTTTGAAAAAAAAAGCTATTTGGGTTTTCAGGATAAATAGTCACAGGTAGAGCTCTATAGCTCCTTTTTTTGTTATTATACCTACCAATACAAGATAAAAATACATTGGGTTTTATTTAACCTTGATCGTGAATAACTGGAAAAGGTTGGGGGATTATCACAGATTAGAAGAGATTATGTGATAACCTGTATCTGACTTCCACAGTCCTGGCATATTTTTTACAGAATCCTCTAAGACTTGGAAAATTATAATGTCAATGTTTAAAAAATTGTTTGATTTTAATGGTGCTCCTTCAACCAGAGACCAAGATATATTGGCATATGCACAAAATCGAACAGTACTAAAATTAATCCCAAACTGTGATTTCAATACATGATAAAAGCATGTGCAGCCAATATTGGAGAACTATTCACACATACTTGGTTGATTATCACCATTTATGTGATAAATGTTTAAGAAGACAAAACAATTTTTTGATATATTCAAAACAAGTAAAAATGAGTATCAGCTATGTTTCCAACAAAATCAATGTTTCATGGTCACAGAATTCTAAAGTATAAAATTCTTGTCTGGGTTACAATATGGAGATTGTAAAGCTCATACTCGTTAATGATTATTGCTGAGAATGCGACTTGATTGAGTTTAGCAAGGTCAAGATCCCAGACTTTAAACTTCCTGTCAAGTTACAACTTTCTTTTATAGAGATTGTAGAGGCTCAAACTTAACAAAAACTTTGCATATGACTGTAGGTTGTGTCACGCAGTTTTCCAATATGTTTCATCTCCACTGCAGTTGTATTAATCTATTTATGGAAGTTCTAATTTCTTTGAAAAATTATGATACTGCTAGTAGTTTTCTTATTTATGATATTGTTATAATTATCTACAGCTGAACATAAGTAATTTAAAAAAGAGATATCTTGAATACCATTGATATGTCAAAGTGAGTCAGAATTCGCAACCATTAACCTTTCTTGAACTCTTGGATGTCTCCAAGTTTTTGGGGTTTTTTTCTGAGTCTTATCAAGTTTGAGATAATGAAGTTTGACAATATTTATTTTCCTGTTTCTGTAGCCAACTTAGAAATGGAGGAAGCGTATATTGTGGAATCTCAGGATGAAGTGGATAGCTGGCAGAATGAAATTCTACACCGTATGGATCAGGACCAGGACTTTTTGTCCCAGCTTAAGGCTCGCCGAAACAGAAATAATAACCACAGTGATAGTGAAACAGAGTTAGTAAAAATACTTAAAATGTCAGTAAATAGACCTAAGGATGCACAAATTTGTTGAGTTACATGAAATACATTTTATTAAAATGTCATTAATATTTTGCTATAGGTTAAAAATTTCATTTCCTTATCAACAAATCTTCACAAGAAATGAACTCTTCTTACAATTACAGCTCCCTCCCCCCTCCCTCTTATGCGTCAGTTACAGAGAGTGCCACGCCTTATTACCCAGTCTCCAATAACAACCGGGAGGGTACAGAGGATGGGGACTCATTTGTTCTGATGGATGACAACAAAACTGATGATGATGCAGAGCTTTACGATAATCATCCCAAGGTGAATACCTCTCTGAAGCTTACAATAAATTAACTCATGCTTAGGACAAATCGTAACGATGTAACCAATGCTTTGGACAAATTGTAGTGTAACTAATGCTTAGGACAAATTATAACTGTGTAAATAAGTCTAAGAAGATTAGTACATATCTTAACAGAGTAACAACTAGGGGTGCAACGATACACTAACCTCACGATACGATACGTATCACGGTATTCAGTTCACGATACGATACGTATCACGATACATGACAAGGTTAAAAAAAAGTCTTTCAAGTTTGTCACCATATTTTTTCTTTAACTTGACAGGGTTATATAAAATGTTCATATTTTTTTGATAATAATTAAAATAAAATTTTGTTAACTTGAATTGGATTATTGGGTACATCTTTGAGTTTTGATAATATTCTAAACCAATGATCAACATTTACAGGGAACTACGGGGACCTTTCCTAATAATCTTTTTAAATTGGAATGAAAAAGGAAGACATTCATTCTTTTATTCCTTTTATTTACGTAGAAAACCAGTTGTCATATTTCTCGTGTTAACACGTTTTAGTCAACAAGACAGTGAATTCTCATCGAAATACACACGTAATGAAATATCGTGTATTACCAAAGAATACGTTTAGATCTAAAGGGTTTATCATTTGTCTTAACATCTATTATAACATATAATCACATTAAGTCCTTCTCAGTGTTAAATCTGAGGTCTATAAGATGCTGGAGATGAGTTTAACTTCCGTTAATGCGTTGTCGGCGACCTCACGTTTTGCGCGGAAGCCATTTTGAAATTGTAAAAAAGGAAACAAAACGGACGATTCGGATAATTCTGCACTGATTGAACCGAACCGCGATATCAGTTTAGCGTATCGTGAATTGAACCGTGGAAAAATATACCGCGATATACCGTCAAACGGTTTATCGTTGCACCCTTAGTAACAACTGTGGAATCGCCATTGATCATGGGGGACAAATGTTCATTGGTCAAATTCACCCATGAATTTACATCCCCATGAACAATAAATTGTCAATGTATTGGTTCATTGAATCTTCTCTATATGCAATTTACCCACTAGTAGGTTGCCTACAAGCATTGACCCCCTTAATTAAAAATGGTTCCACAATAACTCTGAAAGACTAAATTACAACATTGTTCTATTTTCGAGTTGGGAAGATTTTATTTAAGTTGTAAAATTTATGTTGAAAGGTCAGGTTTCATTGTATGACTAGACATCAGATGTGAAGAAATGTAAATGTAGAGGCCACAGATTAATGCTTGTATATGTACAGTAAAACCTCGTTATCTCGAACTCGAGGGGACTGGGAAAAAACTTCAAGATATCTGAGAGTTCGAGATGTTGAATGAGGGTAAAATACTTAAAGATAAAGTGCTTGGACATATCCAGGGTATTCAAGATATCTGTGTTCAAGATAGCGAAGTTCAACTGTATATCATGTTGTACTTATTTAAACTACATGTACATGTTCCCAGTGACTTATTTATTTTTAAGATTAGAAACACTTACATTGATATCTGATATTAAAATGTATTAACGTGACAAACTCCTTGTAGTGGAATTGTTTACCTTTATTATAGGAGTTGCCCAACAGACTGACCTCCAGTACTCATACGACGGATGACGAGAGTTACCTCCAGTCAGACGCAGACTCGTACATCCGCACAGACGATGACGAGGAAAGCAGCAACACTGACTGGGAGGAGTCTATGAAGAGATGGGTCAACCGATAGGCGGAGTCAACTGATAGACGGACAGACAGGGTCAACCAATAGACAGCCAAGGTCAAGCAGTAAACCAGCAGGGATTGTGCAATCTATTATAATGATATGGAACACTTACTTAAGTAGTGTGTAGTAAAATCAACTCAATTAAAGAAGGGATTGTGCAATCATGAAAGTGCAAAATGAAGAGTTTTAGAAAATCACTGAAACCAAAGAGGTCTTAACTCTCAGCAAATGGAACTAATGTGACATTGCTGAGTGTGATAAAATTAAAGTGCAATGCTGATAGGGCAGGACATTCCTCACAGTATAGTGTGAACTGTGAAATAATATATTTTCTTGAAAACAAAAATTTAAATGTTTTTTTTAGTTTAAATTGCTTCATAATTCTAATGTCTAGTCGACAAAAGGAAATCCCAGGGCAGTTATCCGAAACTGTGCTACATGTTTGTTGTTATTTTTTTTTTTATTTCTCTAGCAAAATGGTGTGCAATATTTCTGTCTAATATTTGAGTTTTCCCAAGCTTTGGGTTGTCAGCATTTTTATCTTTTACCAAAGAATATGTTACTTGTTATTAATATATTCAGCAATCAAGATTAGCTCTTCTGATGAATGAGATACATAAACATATGTACGATAAGGATTTATCTAACAACAATGTTCTACTATTGAGCTCTGTTTTAGTGAAGTATTAGGATGAGCTCGGTATCTTGTATGACTAAATACATGTACACGTAATAACTCTAAAGCATATACAGACCAAAAAAAAAACTACCGCGTAGATATTAATACATTTCAGCAAAACTCTGATTGATGTAAATTACATTTTATTTTACTGCGAGGACTTTCATTATTCCAACATTATTTCAGAGGTTTTTGCAGACATTGAAATAACTTAATAAAGAATGGTAACTCTGTCTTATGGATGATATACAAAAATATTTAAACCTCAAAAACTTTTTACATAAATGTTTGCTGAAGCCTATTGAAAGTAAACTCATGTAAATTAACTGAATTCCAGAACCATTTAGTGTTAGGTTAGGGAATGCTGTTCACTTCAATAATTCTTTCATATATAATTTAGCATTTAAGGAACATGTATACATGTATGTACATATACTAATGCTTACATTTTACACCTATCATTTGTAACTTAATTTGCTTGATCACGCAAATTTAATAATCCTGAAAAATAAGAGTCCCTGTATTTGATACCTCTAGTCTATAGGTCTACCTCCCTATCATAATCAGCTGTTATACACAAATCAACCTAGAATTCTAAGTCTTTAAACTTCATAGCATGTTTCAGTTATATATGAATTAACATATCTTCATTCATTAATAACATCAGTGTATGAGATTATGTAGATTTTTTTAAGTATTAGTATTTATCACTACTTACCAGTTATATGTGAGTTGTCATGGAGGAGAATCTTAATTAACTTTGTTACATTATTACTACTTAAAAAAATATTTCCTTTCGGCAATGTGTTGTCATAATTCTTTGTTAAATTATTTTTATATCATCAATGCACAACATTATTGGTGTTGTTGATTTTTTTTTTTTTAATAATTAAAATTTATATGATAAACTTGTAGATGTTAGAAAAAGATAAATCAAGCAGACAGTATATATGCCTTTAAGAAGTGCTCTACATAAATTAAGTCAAATTTATTGTTTATAAAATTGTACACCTAGAAAACTAACAATGTACTTTACAGATATTTGTGTTATATAAAACTGCTGTTTTGATTCCGTTTATCTTTGCTTTAGCTATTTTTGTGATCCATTGATATGACTGAGGTTGTGCTCCTGTAATGTATTACAATGGTTGTAATTTGTGTAACTTGTACAGTAATTATAATGTAAAACATTTGTTTTACATTGGTTGTAAATGTGATACAAATAATAGTATTACAAATGACTGTAATTTGTCCAGCCATAGTTTATTCATTTTACAATGGTAGAATTTAACACATGACTTTATATCTTGATGACAAAAGTTACAATTTGTATAAAAATGGTTGTCAGTGTAAAACAGTGGCTAGACCACCTCATCAATCAGTAGAGCTCTACATTTTATAACATTGATATTGTTTTATACATTTGACTATTGAGATTTTTGTTACCATGGAAACTGTTGTTGATTTTACGATGAAGTAATCCATTTAGATAAATAAGGGGGAAAAGAAGCTCTGTTTAATATATAGACTTAATAAATAAAACTTGAAGAAGAATTTACAAATTGATGTTTCATGTACTATAAGAGGTACTTGCCTCAAGACCAAAAACTGAGAACAGACTGAGTCAGAATTTTTATTTTTAATATATTGAGTTTTATCTATTGTCCGTCCATCTTTAAACTTTTCACATTTTCAAATTCTTCTCAAGAACCGCTGGGTCAATTTTAACCAAAGTTGGTACAAAGCATTCCTTGGTAAAGGGAATTTTAATAGTTAAAGTGAAGGGCCAAGCCCCCTTCCGAGGGAGGTAATCAAGAAATGACAAAAATAGGATGAGGTCATTAAAAAGTCTTTTTAAAAAACCAGAAAAGGTGAAACTTAGGTGATAGCTTTCTTAGGTAGTCTAAATATAGGGAGGGGGCACATTAGGGAATCAAAGTTTTACATTTGAATATATAGGAAAAATCTTTAAAACTTTTCTTCCAAGAACCACTGGGCCAGAAAAGCTGAAACTTATGTGGAATCTTCCTGAGATTCTAAATTGTTCTAATCATGACCCCCAGGGAGTAGGGTGGGGCCACAATAGGGAATCAAAGTATTACATTGATTGATTTTAAGAACCTTCTCTGAAGAACAACAAAGCCCTGATAAGTCATATTTATTTTGACTTATTAGACTTGTGGGGAAAAAATGGGGTCAAAGTGATCAGGTGAGCCTTATGGCCCATGGGCCTCTTGTTTTTATTGGTCACACAGGTGCTTGAAAACTTTGAAACTCTATTGTTGTCACAGTCCAGTTGAACATGGCAATCAGAATCAAAATACTGAAAGAACTGGGAAAAGCGAGACAATAAAAATATCAAAATATGACATTGAAAGATAATTTATGAGAAAAAAGTCAAAATAGCCCTGGGTATATATTTGGAGGGGGTGTGTTCCTGTCCTATTTTCTAGTAAAAAGAGGAGGAGGGGGTATTTTGCCAATATAAATGTACTACACTTGTAACAACAGAAATCAAAGCTAATTTTGGGTTGAGTTCCCCAAAATAATAACATAAGATTACAATTTTTCAAATTTTGCTTGGAATTTCTGTTTAGTTCTGCTTTCCTACCGCCCAGCTTAGAAGAGTCATTCATTTGGACGTCTTTAAAAGACAGAAGTAGAAGAACCGATCTCTCTCTCTCTCTCTCCCTCTCTCTCTCTCTGCGTTTTCATGACAAAACTAGGGACTTGCGTGTTGTATTCTAACTTTTGATACAATTAAATATCTAGTGGTCACCTTCACATATATTTTTTTAGGGGCACCCTTGCCCTAGGGTCAAAATTCACCAAAAAAAGAAAACTTCAAAAATATATAGAGAGAGAAAGAGAGATAATAAAAAAAACCTTTCTCATAGTTAGTAAAGTTGAAATGGTTAGACCGCTGACTCGGTGACTCATTAACGAAGTTACAATTCCTAGTCAAGGTTCGAATCCAAATGATTCGATATGTCAGAATCATCAGATCTTTGTACTTCAGTCACAAATTCAATCTGTACGTCTTATATGATTGAAAAATAATCTTGCACGAGACGTAAAACAATCAATCAATCAATTTGATACCATTCAGTGTATATCATGCCCGGATCCGAGGAGGGGGGGGGGGGGAGGGTCCACCCCAGCTCAAATAATATGGAACCAAAATTAGCAAAACAAGAAAAACAAAAACTCTCTTACCATTTTACCAAAGATAAGTTTTTCGGGGTGGTGGGGGGTTAAGTATATGACCTTGACCTTCCCTATGACGCTAGCTCTGCTTCAGATCTATGCTTTCTGATATCGTGAGTCAAAAAAACTTCAGAAAATTATAATTGGAATATATCATGACATATGAAGTTTTCATATTGATTTTCTCCATCATTATTTTTTCTTTTTCATTTTAAGGATGTAGATTTCAGCTTTTTTGTAATCAAATTAACAAAGGACTTGATGCTGTAAACATTGGTAAGATTTTTGATCCCAAAAGGGTCTTGTATTCCACCGTATTTCAAGTTAAAGTCAATATTTTTATTTTTTTATTTTTTTTTTACAAATATTCATCAACTATTGCTTCCAAACTTTTTTTTTAAAATTACAAAACAAAAGAAAAAAAACAAGCAAATTCAAAGAATTATGGTCCCCCGCTTAGTGGATGGGATGCCATTATTTATGGCATATTGTAACTGTCTTGTTTGTGTGTCCTGTCTTGTCTGTGCATTATACAAAAAAAGACATAAATTATTGAATTAATAACAGTTTTGGCAAAGATAAAATCTTCTCAAAACTACATCAAACTTCAATATCAAGGTCATGAGGTCAAATATTATAATAAAATCCGAAAGGTCTTGTCACAAGTAATGCACATATGAAAAAAAAATTAAAAACCCGAGTATACAATCGGAAAAGGTCTTGAAACAGGTAATGCACATGTCAAATGTAAATGCCATGTCTCCTCTCGATCAAAAGTTATCAGCAATGTTAAAATTGTTGAAAATTAGGTCAAACTTCAAGGTCATGGGGTTAAAAATCATAGTGTATTTGGAAATGCTTGTCACAGGTAATGCACGTGTCATATATGAATGCCCTATATTCGCTACTTCAAAAGTTAGCAACACTGAAGAAATTAGGTCAAACTTGAAGGTCGAGGTCAAAGGTCAGATATCACAGCACATTCGGCAACATTTTGACACATGTAACGCACTTGTCAAATATAAACGCTCTATCATGTATGATTCAAAAATTATCACCAAAATTAAATTTTTTGAAAATTAGGTCAAACATGAAGGTCATGGTCAAAATCATAGCATGCTCGGAAACATCTTGTCACGGGTAATGAACATGTCAAATATGAAAGCCTTATCTATTCTCAATCAAATGTAATAAGCAAAGGGAAACATTTTGAAAAGTAGGTCAAACTTCAAGGTCACGGGGTCAAAAACCATAGTATATTTGGAAAGGTCTTGTCACAGGTAATGAACATATGTTATATGAAAGCCCTTTCTTTTCTCATTCAAATTTTATGACCAATTTAAAGTAATTTCAACATTTTTGAAAGGTAGGTCAAACCCTCAAGGTCAAGATCAATGGGTCAAAAATCATAGTATATTTGGAAAAGTTTTGTCACAGGAAATGCTCATGTCAAATATGAAAGCCCTGTCTATTCTCAATCAAAATTTATAAGCAAAGATAATTTTTTTTGAAAAATAGGTCAATTTTCAAGGCCAAGGTCACGGGGTCAAAAATCATAGTATATTTGGAAAGCTCTTGTCACAGGTAATGTACATGTGAAATATGAAAGCCCTATCTTTTCTCATTCAAAAGTTATGACCAAGGTTAAAGTTTTTGTGACAGACAGACAGACGGACAGATTGACACAAACGAGTGAGATTCAATATCCCCTTGCCTTCGCGAAAGCGGGGGGGGGGGGGGCAGGATTACTGTACAACATATTCGAGAAGTGGTGTAAATCAGATGCAGATACTTAAAATTTTGATTTGAAATCACAAAATTTTACCAAATTTAATAGCATCAAAACGTACGACTTTTCATCACTATTTACAATCATTCCTCACGATTTATTAAAGACCAGACTTTTTGACATCATAGACAACTGTTTTTTTTTTTTCAAAAAAAAAATTAAAAAAAAAAAAAAAAGAAAAGTAAAAACAAGAGGCCCATGGGCCACATCGCTCACCTGAGCACATTGGCTAGGCAAAAGCACAATCAGTTCAGTATTGAAAAGACACGGGGGGGGGGGGCTTGAATTTTAAACTACCTGATGATGCTTCCATGTCAATATAACAAATTGCTTTGTTGTACTTAAGAAGATTTTTTAAAAAAATTCCCATATATTCCTTCGTAAAAATTTGATCCCTCATTGTGGCTCCTCCCTATCCCAGGGGTCATCATTTGAACAAACTTGAATCTACACTACCTGAGGATGCTTCCATATCAATATGACTAAACATAGCTTTTCTGTTCTTGGGAAGAAATATTTTTTCTATATGTTACTATGTAAAACTTTCCATCCCCCATTGGGCCCCATCCTACCCCTGGGGGTCATCATTTGAAAAAAATTGAATCTACACTACCTGAGGATGCTTCCATATCAATATGACTAAACATAGCTTTTCTGTTCTTCAGAAGAAGATATTTTCCTTTATATTTCTATGTAAAACATTGATCCTCCATTGTGGCTCTGCCCTACCCCCGGGGTTATGGTTTGAACAAACTTGAATCTACACTACCTGAGGATGCTTCCATATCAATATGACTAAACATAGCTTTTCTGTTCTTGAGAAGAAATATTTTTTCTGTATGTTCTTATGTAAAACTTTCCTTCCCCCATTGGGCCCCACCCTACCCCTGGGGGTCATCATTTGAACAAAATTGAATCTACACTACCTGAGGATGCTTCCATATCAAAATGACTAATCATGGTTTGCAGTTCTTCAGAAGAAGATATTTTCCTTTATATTTCTATGTAAAACTTTGATCCTCCATTGTGGCCCGCCCTACTCCCAGGGGTCATGGTTTGAACAAACTTGAATCTACACTACCTCAGGATGCTTCCATTTAAATGTGACTCATCATGGCCTTTGCTGTTCTTGAGAAGAAGATTTTTAAAGATTTTTCCTATATATTTCTATGTAAAACTTTGATCCTCCATTGCAGCCCCGCCCTACCCCCGGGGGCCATGGTTTGAACAAACTTGAATCTACACTACCTCAGGATGCTTCCATTTAAATGTGACTCATCATGGCTTTGCTGTTCTTGAGAAGAAGATTTTTAAAGATTTTTCCTATATATTTCTATGTAAAACTTTGATCCTCCATTGCGGCCCCGCCCTACCCCCGGGGGTCATGATTTGAACAAACTTGAATCTACACTACCTCAGGATGCTTCCATATAAATATGACTCATCATGGCTTTGCTGTTCTTGAGAAGAAGATTTTTAAAGATTTTTCCTATATATTTCTATGTAAAACTTTGATCCTCCATTGTGGCCCCATCCTACCCCCGGGGGTCATGATTTGAACAAACT